CTATAAATTGGTTAAAACTCCATGTCATTGTTGTTGTCCTGTTGAAAACATTTCCTCTTTCTTCCTTTCCCTAAGATGTCTTCACAAATGTCAATAAACATGTGTCCTAGTTGTAGGATTTCTCCTCTCTTCCTGTTTTGGGGACAAATAAAAAATTGTGAATTTCCCCTCCTCTCCCTGTACTTTGATAATGGCCACAAAAACATATAAAGACAGACTGAGTCTCCCTAATGAGATCAAGGACACCAATAAAAACCCGAAAAGGAGAAACTTTAAAATGTTGGCTTTAGATACACATTTAAGTTATATAGTGCCATCAATTTACACAGTGCTTTTACATATACAGTGGGGATCGAAAGTTTGGGCACCCCAGCTAAAAATTTGTATTAATGTGCATAAAGAAGCCAAGGAAAGATGGAAAAATCTTCAAAAGGCATCAAATTACAGATTAGACATTCTTATAATATATCAACAAAAGTTAGATTTTATTTCCATCATTTACACTTTCAAAATAACAGAAAACAAAAAAATGGCGTCTGCAAAAGTTTGGGCACCCTGCAGAATTTATAGCATGCACTGCCCCCTTTGCCATGCTGAGACCTGCCAGTGTCATGGATTGTTCTCAATCATCGTCTGGGAAGACCAGGTGATGTCAATCTCAAAGGTTTTAAATGCCCAGACTCATCTGACCTTGCCCCAACAATCAGCACCATGGGTTCTTCTAAGCAGTTGTCTAGAAAACAAACTGAAAATAGTTGACGCTCACAAAGCTGGAGAAGGCTATAAGAAGATAGCAAAGCGTTTTCAGATGTCAGTATCCTCTGTTCGGAATGTAATTAAGAAATGGCAGTCACCAGGAACAGTGGAAGTTAAAGCAAGATCTGGAAGACCAAGAAAAATATCAGACAGAACAGCTCGCAGGATTGTGAGAATAACAATTCAAAACCCACGTTTGACTGCACGAACCCTCCAGAAAGATCTGGCAGACACTGGAGTTGTGGTACACTATTCCACTATAAAGAGATACTTGTACAAATATGGTCCTCATGGAAGAGTCATCAGAAGAAAACCTCTTCTACGTCCTCACCACAAAAATCATCGTTTGAACTTTGCAAATCAACATATAGACAAGCCTGATGCATTTTGGAAACAAGTTCTGTGGACCGATGAGGTTAAAATTGAACTTTTTGGCCGGAATGAGCGAAGGTACGTTTGGAGAAGAAGGGGCACAGAATTTAATGAAAAGAACCTCTGTCCAACTGTTAAGCATGGGGTTGGATCAATCATGCTTTGGGGTTGTGTTGCAGCCAATGGCACAGGGAACATCTCACGAGTAGAAGGAAAAATGGATTCAATAAAATTTCAGCAAATTTTGGATGGTAACTTGATGCCATCTGTGAAAAAGCTGAAGTTAAAGTGAGGATGACTTCTACAAATGGATAATGATCCTAAAACACACCTCGAAATCCACGGGGGATTACATCAAGAGGCGTAAACTGAAGGTTTTGCCATGGCCTTCACAATCTCCTGACCTCAACATAATTGAAAATCTATGGATAGACCTTAAAAGAGCAGTGCGTGACAGACAGCCCAGAAATCTCAAAGAACTGGAAGACTTTTGTAAGGAAGAATGGGCAAAGATACCTCAAACAAGAATTGAAAGACTCTTGGCTGGCTACAAAAAGCGTTTACAAGCTGTGATACTTGCCAAAGGGGGGCAGTACAAGATATTAACTCTGCAGGGTGCCCAAACTTTTGCAGACGCCATTTTTTTGTTTTCTGCTATTTTGAAAGTGTAAATGATGGAAATAAAATCTAACTTTTGTTGACATATTATAAGAATGTCTAATCTGTAATTTGATGCCTTTTGGAGATTTTTCCATCTTTCCTTGGCTTCTTTATGCACATTAATACAAATTTTTAGCTGGGGTGCCCAAACTTTCGATCCCCACTGTATATTGTATATTCACATCAGTACAAGACAATCCTGTAAAGATTATAGGAAATTCAGGGCTCAAAACAATAATGAAATAAAGAAAAACATGAGAGTAATATTGGTAAGTCCGTAGTATGCACAGCACTGCGTGGCTGGGATGTAAAACGGCTAAGAAACACAAGCCCTGGCAGCTCCTCGCCAAATGATCTGGGATATCCCTCATATACTTGCAAAAGGAACACAGCAGGATGCCAGGTTGGTGTGAGTTTAAAATACTTTATAAAATGCACACTTACATAGAAAGAAACTTGTATAGTTCTCCAGTGGCTAGGGCAGTATGTGGTGACAGCTCTCTCCAGTATGGTAGAACCATTAGCAGCTGCAGGGCATAAGACAGGACCCGCTGGTGGAAGGAACTTGGCAGCATTTATTCCCATGTAAGTGAGCATTGAATAAAGTTTGCTTTTTAAACTCACACTTACCTGGTGCCCTGCTGTGTGCCTTTTCATATATTCACATTCCCTGCCCTCAAGGAGCTTACAATCTAATGTCCCTGGCTCACATTCATACATACTAGGAACAATTTAGACAGGAGCCAATTAACCTACCTGCATGTCTTTGGAGTGTGGGAGGAAACTCCAGGCAGGTAGTGTTTGTGGTTGGGATTTGAACCAATGACCCTAGTGCTGCTAAGGGGAAGTGCCAACCACTGTGCTGCTAAAGCATTGAGTATTTTTTACAATAAATTACTCTTTTCACCGTTTTTCTGCCTACATGCATGCTCTCCATCAATGGTTGCAGGGTATTATTTTCTGGTAGTATAGTAATAGTAGTTGAATATGCCTGTGTTATGTGCACTGCAGGGACGTCTAATGGGCAAAAAGGGAATTACAACGGGCCAAAAGCATTTATTTATTTATTACAAGTACTTATATAGCGCCATCAATTTACACAGTGCTTTACGTATATATTGTACATTCACATCTGTCCCTAACCCTCAAGGGGTGTACAATCTAAGGTCCCTAACTTACATTCATACACATACTAGGGCCAATTTAGAGCATGTCTTTGGAAACCCACACAGGCACAGGGAGAACATACAAACTACAGGCAGGTAGTGCCATGGTTGGGATTCAAACCAATGCCCCTAGTACTGCTAGGCAGAAGTGCTAACCATTTAGCCACTGTGCATTTGAAGTGGTGATTGTAAAAGTTTGGCATTATAGTGTATGTATGATGGTCAGGTGGCCATATTGAGTACTATAAAGCATTACTTGCTAAAAGTTTCCCTTCACACTGGTATCATGTCCTGTTTGTTCATAGATTAATGAATATGTGTGTTTGGTCAGTTGTTACTTTCTTCATACTTTATCCAAGGGGGGGGGGGGGGTACTATAGGTCAGAATCACTTCACCCCTTTGTAGTCCGAATTCATGAACAGGGTTTCCCTTTACTTATTATTTGCACAGTTCACTTTAAACCATCAGCCCACAACTCTGTTTTACCTGAAGGATAATCTATTTCTTTTTTTTTCTTTTCTTAATAGGCTCACAGAGCTGTTAAATAACATCCTTCTGCTTTTTTGAGAAATTACTCTGGGTTTCTTTCTTGCACAGAGAACCAATAACTCAAATAAATGTTCATTAACTGGTAGTGCGGAGCAACAGCATTTGTGCCCTCAGGTGTAGAAAAATCAATTTTAACAATGCAGACTTCCTAGGGGGGACTTGAAGATAACAGCAGTTCAAATAGTAAAAATGACGCAAATGCATCAAGCAGTCACGATTATTCAAGTTATAAAATATGCAAATATATGAATATACTATTGGCAAAAGTTATTTTTATCTGATCTGTATGCCTGTTTTAACTTAAATATAAAAAGCTGTACTCGGTCATTTGCATATATTTCAAATATGACTCAAAACATGTGATAGTACATAATAGCTGCTTAACTACCACTGTCACTGCCAGCCTGTTCTCCTGGAACACAATCTCAGTTCAGTGGTACTGTAAATCTAATAGATTTAGGAGAACCTAGTATCAGTGTCTTGTTTAGTGTGTGCATGCCAAGTAATAGGCAAATGTAATACTTACAGGTACCTTTTAGAGATCAGGGAGTAGAACCTCCCAATTCCTTCATCTAGTAAAGCAAGTGAATATTTTGAATGAAAGAGTAAATCCTAGCAAAAGGATGTTGTGGTGGGTGCCTAAGGCTCTGTGTCTACAGGTGCCCATGATTGAAATCTAGGCATGCTGTTGCTGACATGCCTGAAAGGTAACTGATGACCGCTCTCACAGAGCATTCAGTTACCTAGAGGCTGCCTTTAAAGGGCTTACTGCTACTTCAGCATACCTGTACTATTATTAAGCTCAATTTGGGCACCCCTAAAATTCAGTTCTCCAATGAAAGGTAAAAAGACTAGAATGACTGGTGCCCATCCTTTTTTCCCCATCATAGACTAAGAACCAAACCTTACGAAGTGGCCTGATCAGGGCGGACTGACCATTTGGAAACTCGGGCACTGCCCGAGGGCCCGGGGTCAGTAGGGGGCCCCATGAGATGCCCCTGGTACCTTTTTCATAGGCTTTTTTTGAGTTTGGGCAAGGACACAGGGGCCCCATGATCCCCTATTGCCCGGGGGCCCCATGAGTTGTCAGTCCGCCCCTGGGCCTGATACACTACTTATGGAGTCATTTTGCATAGCCCCAAGGAGCACTACACAGTTTTGTTTTGTTTTTCTGGCTAGCTGTAAAGTATGCTGGGAAATTTTGCATTGCTTTGTGTAGTATCCAGTAGCCATATCCTGTATCTTCCTTAACTAGTAGCCGGCCGCAGATAGCCGAATGACGGCTGCACTGCGGCCGGCCAGTTCTGAGTGGACGTCATATGACATCCTCCCAGAACGCGCTCTTTTGCGCGCCCCAGGGGGCGCGCACCCGGCGATCTCCGTGATCGCTGTGTCCTACGGACACAGCTGAACACGTGATGTGGTAAAAGGCCAATCACAGCGGCCTTTTACCACGTGATCAGCGGTGTCCAATGACACGCTGATCAGAGGGAAATGCAAGTGCCGGTTCTCGGCTGCACTTTCCTCACGCTGTCAGATCGTGAGGAAAGTACTGCCGAGAACCGGCAGTTGTGAGAGCGAGGATCGGCACCGATCATCAGGGCACTGATGATCAGTGCCCTGATGATCGGTGCCCAGCAGTGCCACCCGCAAGTTCCGCCCACCTGTGCCAGCTGCAGTGCGCCCACTAGCTCCGCCCACCTGTGCCCAGCAGATCACCCACCTGTACCCAGCAGTGCACCCACCTGTGCCACTCTGCAGTGTCACACACCTGTGCCCAGAAGTGCCACCTACCTGTGCCCAGAAGTGCCACCCACCTGTGCCCACCCACCTGTGCCCACCACTGCCACCCACACTGTGCCCACCACTGCCACCCACCTGTGCCCACCACTGCCACCCACCTGTGCCCACCCACCAGTGCTGCCCACCAGTGCCACCCACCAGTGCAGCCCAGCAGTGCTGCCAGTCAGTGCCACCAGTCAGGGTCCAGCGGTTGTGCCAGTCAGTGCCCAGCAGTGCTGCCAGTCAGTGCCGTCTATCAGTACCCATCATCAGTGTCACCTATCAGTGCCGCCTATCAGTGCTGCATATTAGTGCCGCCGATCCGTGACACCTCATTAGTGCTTTCTATCAGTGCCGCCTATCCGTGCCACCTCATTAGTACTGCCTATCAGTGCCCTTTAGTGCTGCCTATCAGTGCCCATCAGTGCCGCCTATCAGTGCCCATCAGTGCTGCCTCATCAACGCACATCAGTGAAGGAGAAAAATTACCTGTTTGAAAAATTTTATAATAGAAACAAAGAAACTTTTTTTTTTTTTCAAATTTTTTGCACTTTTTTTATTTATAGCGCAAAAAGTAAAGCGCCCAGTGGCGATTAAATACCACCAAAAGAAAGCTCTATTTGTGAGAAAAAAATGATCAAAATTTCATATGGGTACAATGTTGCATGACCGCGCAATTGTCAATCAAATTGCGGCAGCGCTGAAAGCTGAAAATTGGCCTGGTAAATAAGGGGGTATAAGTGCCTGGTAGGCAAGTGGTTAAAAGGAGTATTCAGGGGAAACATTGCCCATACTCCAGACAAAGTTGTACCAGGTAACACAAACCATGTTCAATTTGTGTTCCCTTGTAGAGTTTCGCAAAGTGTCACTAGAGCATGCCAGCCTCCTGGAGATCTGTCTCTAAACTGTTCTACAATGTTACATCTTTTCCGAAGCACAATTTACCACATCACTATACCCCTCCACCTAACGACTACCACATTCCACCCAATGGCTTCTCCAACATGGCCAGCAAGGTCTGTAACTTACTGACACTTTTTAGTCTATACTAGAACTACTCTAGCATTCATGGAAAGAGACCTGGCTAGCCCGCATTCTCCTGCACAAGTGCCGCTATTACATTTCTCACAAAATACAATACCATTGACAAGGGCTGGTGCAAAGATTTTCATCTAACACAGGTGAAGGTGCATTTTGCTGCCCCCCACCATCCTTCCACCACCTCTCTCCCGTGCTGGTATATCTCTCGCATTGTGCCCATATTGTGATGGGGTGCAGCATGAAGGATGTCACACAGCACTGAAAATTTGAGCTGTGCTGAACTGCTTCAAAATGGCAATGTGTAATGAGGGGGTTATGCATTTGGCAGAGAACCCATGTGATGAGTCCTTACATTTTTTAAATTATATTTATATGATTTTAAAATATTTTTTTTCACTTTTCTAAATTATTTTTGTAATTATTTTTTATTTATTTATTTTTTCACAGTGGTGTTTGGTGTGTGTGGGGGGGTTAGTAAAATATCAGGGGTCTAAATAAATCTGACATAGATTCATTAGTCCCTTTCCCTACAGTCTCAGCTGCACTGGACATTGAATGAATGGGAAGCTCTTTGAGGCCTCCTGTTCATTTACAAACTGAAGCATGATAAACACAGTTTATTATGCTTTCATTATGAATGAATACAGTGTGTAATCGGTGCTGATTATTCACTGTGTTCATTCACAAAAGGAAGCAGCTGGTAAATAGGACATATTTACCTGCCTCTTCCCCATTCTCTATCCTGAAAGCAGCAGCAACCTGCGGGAGAGGACGGAAGCCAACAGTGCTGCGGGAGGGGGGCACACAGGGGGGCTCGGGCAGCCGGGGGTTAGAGGATGGTGCACAAAGATGGTAATCGGTGCCACAGGAGGGCAATTACAGGAAATAATCTCCTGTCTTTGTGAGCAAAAACCAGCTTTCAGCTGTTGCAGGGAGAAATACAAAAGGGATTCGGTTCTAGTAATTGCCCTCCCGCTGCCTTGATCACTCCCTCTCCTGCTCACATCTGATTCCTTTGCTGGGCCCGGTACAGGTGCTACCCACTTATTAGAGGTCCTGTCCAAATCCCTAGCAACTAGCTGGGGATTCGGATTTTAGTGTCCCCTCCCCCCCACCTTGGCAGTCTTATGCTGGCTCCCTACCATTGACATGATAAAGACTACACAAGCTAAAAGCCTAATGCATGGAAAGTAAATACTAACTGCTAGCATTGCCTGCTATCAATAAAACCTGTTACTATGCCCAGGCCAAGCAAAGTGAAGGTTTACTTTAAATAATTTTTTCATCTACGCCTTCAAAATAATCATAAAACAGTATTATGCAGCATTTCAACTGCTATATATAACGATTTTTCAGTTTTTATGATAATATGAATAAAATCTATTTAAAAGAAGCTTTGTTTCTCTTGTGTGTGTGTTTTTTTTTAAATGAAAGATTTTTTTTCATGAAAAATAAATGATCTACTTAAGACAGATATGCAAACCCTACATAAAGGCACATTATGCAAGCAGAAAGTTATCAAACACTTACAGATGGTGCTATCATTTCCCATTGTATGTAACATTTTATAACTCTCCCTGGAGTGCCAGCATCATCTGTATGGAGCGGATGTTTTCTACGTTGTTCGCTTGTGTCATGCAATAGAATTTCGTGTTTTGCAAAAAATTTCATTACTAAGCCATTTAATCTCTGCAGATTGAATTTCAATATGGGAATGAATTATGGTTTGTAGTATAAACAGGGATATATATATATATATATATATATATAGATATATATGATATAAAAAGTCTACACACCCCTGTTAAAATGTCAGGTTTCTGTGATGAAAAGAAATGAGACCAAGATAAAACATTTTGGAGCTTTTTCCAACTTAATGTGACCTATAAACTGTACAACTCATTTGCAAAACAAACTGAAATCTTTTATGGGGGGGGAGTAAACAAAAAAACTAAAATAATGTGGTTGTATAAGTATGCACACCTTCTTATTACTGGGGATGTAGCTGTGTTCAGAATTAACCACTTGCCGCCCAGCCACCGCATACAAACGGTGGCAGGGCGGCACTCGTAGGCAAAAGCACGTTTTAAAATGGCTGCCTTCAAAACAGGTAGGGGGCGCGCGAGGGCGCGCGCCCGCCCTACCTGTCCTGCGGGTGTCAGCAGCGGGTGTCAGCCGACGGGTCACGGCCGGTTTTTACTGGCCGTTTTCCCCGCGATTAGCAGTGTTCGTTGACACAGAGCAGGGCTGCATTGTTTACACACAGCCCTGTTCTGTGTCAGTTCTCTGACAGCTTGTGAGAAGCTGCAGAGTTTCTCTCCCTCATCAGCTCCCCCCTCCCTCCCCCCATCCAGTACACACCCCTGCCCCCTAGTAAAACACTCCCCTTACACTGCAAATTCTAAAAATGTTAACCCCTTCCTCCCCAGTGACATTAGTACAGTTTCAGTGTTTTTTTTTTCACTGATCACTGTATTGGTGTCACTGGGGATGTCAGTGACCCCAAGTCAGTTCCCCCAACAGTGTCAAAATGTCCGTCGCTGTCCCGCAGTCCTGCCATAAGTCGCTGGTCGCCGCCATATGTCGCTGATTGCCGCCAAAAGTCGCTGATCGGCGCCATTATTTAGTATAAATAAAAATTAAAAATTCCAGTATCTTTCCCGCCATTTGTAAATGCTATAACTTTCACGTAAACCAATTCATTTACACGTATTGGGTTTTTTTTTTAGCAAAGACGTTGCAGAATGCATTTTGGCAAAAATTTATGACCTAATTGAGTTTTAAATTTTTTTTACTGGAAATGTTTTATAGCAAAAAGTCCAAAATATAGTTTTTTTTTCCTGAAAATTGTCAGCCCTTTATTTTTTGCGCTATAAAAAAAAAAACGCACAGGCGATCAAATACCACCGAAAGAAAGCTCAATTTGTGAGAAAAAAAGAATGTAAATTTCATTTATGTACCGTATTGCATGACCGCGCAATTGTCCGTTAAACTAGCGCAGCACTGTATAGCAGAAAAATGGCGTAAATTGCAGTATTTATACCATAGTTTGTAGACGCTATAACTTCCACACAAAGCAATCAATATACACTTATTGGGATTTTTTTTACCAAAAACATGTAGCAGAATACATTTTGGCCTAAATTTATAACCAACTTTGAGTTTTACTATATATTTTTTTATAGCTGAAAGTAAAAAATATTGTTTTTCTTCAAAATTTTTGGCCTTTTTTTTGTTTATAGTTTGAAAAATAAAAAGCTCACAGGTGATCAAATTACACCGAAAGAAAGCTCTATTTGTGCGAAAAAAAGGACGTCAATTTTGTTTGGGTGCAGCATTGCATGACCGTGCAATTATTAGTTGAATTAGTGCAGCGCCGAGTAGCAAAAAGAGGCCTGGTCATTAAGGGGGGTAAATCCTCAGGTGCTCAAGTGGTTAAGCAATCTCATTCAAAATCATGTTAAATAGGAGTCAGTACACACCTGCCATCATTTAAAGTGCCTCTTATTAACCCCAAATAAAGTTCAGCTGTTCTAGCAGGTCTTTCCCGGCATTTTCTTAGTCGCATCCTACAGCAAATGACAGCTGGCTATCTGGCACTTGCTTGTTTGTAAACAAAGCCATGTTATCACTGATGCAATATGAGCTCACTGATCATGTGCCCTGCTCATACTCATCATATGACCAGGCACCATGTTGATCGCCAGTAGAGCAGCTGTAATACTGCATTCACATTTGAGCGATTTGTAGCTGGAAGCTCCAAAAACGCTCAAACTTAAAAAAAATCAATTGTTCTCTATGGTATCTGTTCATACCTGATCGCATGAACAGCCACCATGTAGAACAATTGATTTTTTTTTTAAGTTTGAGCGTTTTTTAGAGCTTCAAGCTACAAATCGCTCAAGTGTGAATCCTGCTGAGACTCAAAACAGTCAAAGGGCTAACAGCTGTTGTAGGTGTGAACTGCTAGTTCTGCCATGGTACATGTTTTAATGTATCCACAATCCACAGCACAGGGCAATAACCACTATACATTTTCCTTCATTGGTTAGAAAGGTACAGTAAATGTGAAATATTTATTAAGAG